ACTCACATGGAGATGTTATTGGGGGGGGGGAGGGCGGTTTACAGGTTTACACGGAAATGTGGGGGCAGGTGGTGTCACTGTCTCAAAATGAGCAATAAGAGGGCTAGGTTACAGTAAATAATTTATTTGAGTGATCCTGTGTATGCAAACAAAGGGAAGTTTTTTTCATAGGGCCCCAAAAAACAAAATAACTTGTTTATTACTGGATCAACATTTTTTGAAAAAAATACTTTAGTTTGGTCACAGGAGGGCCATGCAAAGTTACCTGTACATTGGAAAAAGTTAATAACTGAGCTAGAAATTGTTAAAACCAGTTTCCTCTTTTTTTGAGTAAAGAGAAGTACGTTGACACAATAATGGTCATTTACTGCTGGGAAAAAATAAGACAGAAAGACAGAAACAACAGTGGTGTCCTCCAAACACCCATTTTTTTTTTTTACACAGACTGAAGAGAATGAAAAAGCCACATCAAAAGTGATGGTGCTTTCCATGAAAAAGTTGGCGTGCCTTATCCGAGGAACATATAATTTATGCAAAAATTTTGGCTCTCGAGTCTCGCTGCATCTTATCTGCGCACGTGCGATGACATACGGTACACTGCTGGGGTTGGACTATGATGTAGATGACCCCGGATGAAATCAGAAGTGGGACACCCTTGAACTTATGTGGTCTGGTGATTTTACATGGCTCTCTGCCCACATAGCATGGGCCTTTCAGAGATCAACGTTACATCAGAGGTCCTAAGTCTTTAATAACTGTACAGTGTTGAGAAAAGGCATTACACCCACACAATATAGATAATGCTAAGCTACTTATTTTTTTCAACTTTCTTTAGAACCTGAAATAGACAGGAAGGAAGGAGAAGCTGTTTATGATCTGGCTCAAGCACATACAAGCAAAACTATACAAAAGTAACAATAAAAATTTGGTAAGGCACAGAGCATATCAGTGTTATGTACTAGAGGAAAACATTCGAAATCTATCCACTCGATGCTATTATTACTATTATGCTTCCTTTCCAACATCAAAATGTACAAATTGACCAGGATCTCTTAAAAATAAAACGACTAAGAGATATAACCCCCCCCCCCCCTAAAAAACCCCAACCCAAACCAAAAACAAATGGGAAGCCACAAAGGCAAGTACATGAAACAGTGGGTTATTGATATTTCCAAGGAAGGAAAAGATTGCAAAGCATGAAGTACTAAATTTTAAAAAGAAAACATGACATTTTCCTTTACAAAAATCTGAACAAAAGGCAAGACAAAGCACATATCCGCAAAGAAGCAGATTGTGAGACTTGATGACAAAATGAATTACTTCTCAAATTTTAGCCCTATGGCCATAGGTAGGTTAAATTTATAGATAAAAAAATTTGTTGGTGCTAAGGGTTCTCAACTGCATAAAGTCATATGAGCATGTGTGGCATATTAAGCATTTTAAGTTTGATAGGAATTAATTATATATTTTGCAACAGGCACCCAAGGCTAGATATTAGATCTTACCTACCCTAAGATCAAGGGTGTGGCGGAAAGACAGCAGTAAGGAGAAGGAACCAAGGAGTAGCAGTACAAAGGCAGCAGAAACAGTCGAGAGCCCAGAGGAGAGGCAAAAGAGGGGAGGGGAAAGGGGGGCAGAAAGTGGAGACGAAAGCAGACGACAGATCATGGTTAGAGAGCTGGAAAGAAGGTGAAAGAAGAACATTTTTAAAAGAAGAAAATTTTCCGACGCTTTTGGTTGATACCTCCATTCACTGATTGCAAGAAGTAAATCATTTTGCCAGAACACTTCACAAATATCCTTTTTGAAGAGGAATGATATTAACTCACAAATCCCTTTGAATAGAACTTGTTAAGTGCATTTGAGCAATAATTGATATTTTAAAGACAGATCAATAAGGCTGACTTAGTCCATTGCTGTTAGTTCTGAACGAGTATCTCTCATCTTTCCTGAAATTTTTGGCATTTTTACTTTTTAATTTGGTAAGCGTTAGTTTTAGTAAGAGTGTTACAGCACTTGCAACACAATAAGGTCATGTAAGTGTTGAAGAATAGATGTGGTACAAGAGAGTAACATACCCAAAAAAGGAGGAGAGAGATAAGGATGATAGATGTTTGATAGGAAACAAGGAGCAAACCACATCGGAGCACCTGTCAACCACCCACAGATTGGTAAGTGTTTTATAGCATATGTAGCACAAATACGAAACATAAGTAGCACAGATTAGAAATGTTACTAGATAGCAATATACAAAGAAAAGAAGGAGAAGAGATAAGGACGATAGATGTCTGGTAGGAAAGATGGAGCAAACTATACTAGAGCACCTGCCAACTAACCACTGGAGTTTTCGTCTCAACCCAATGTCCTTTAATATAAAGGACCTTCCTTTGTAAACACTTTAACTGTCTAGAAGAGTAGGAAATAATTCTAAAGACCAAAGCACTTGTTCATTTAAGAACATGCTACAACTATTGAGCAGTCTACCTCTTTACATTATGGATGCTAGGGGAAAACTTTTAGAACACAGAAAAAGGAACCATTTTTTCATAGATTGTCATGCTTTACATCATGCCACTTTATGTCATCAATACAATCATGAATTGGATAAGAAAATTCAAGACAAATTGAAGATAAATAATAAAAGAAAGCCATTTTTTTGGGGGGGGGCTTGAACGAATCACATAAACAGGACAGTGTTCTTGTTTAATGGTTCAAGAAAAAACTCATAACTGTTACTACAGCAGTTCAATAAGAACATGTATTTGGGAACACAGAAACACCAAGAAAGCATAGAACAGTGCCCCTTTTAAAAAAGGTAATAACTAAATATTCAATTGGCACATTCATGGAAAGCACAATGCTCATAAATCACACAAAATAAATGAATGGAATGCAACTGTCAAATTTCTTGATCCATTTTAACATAAATTGCTCAAATTCAAATGTACCATGAAAAGTCAAGATCAAAATACCAGCAGTAAGTATATACATGACAAATCATGCCAAAGTATGAGTGTACCTAGCACACTGACGGCTAAGACCGAAAACTGGAAAAGTTATTAACTTCGAGAGATTATGTATAAAGACTTATGCATCTCGCATAAAGATTGACCTTAAAGTGAAACTGAAACTTTTGACCTATTGAAAAAAATGTAGCAGTTTTAAATAGAGTACACACTGAGTTTGTATGACAGGACAGTGACAATATTTCATCAAATCAAGCCAGCACCTTTGGACACTCTTTCCATTTGAAGATGTAGTTAATGTTTACAAGACAAAATATACAACATGTCAAAAATGGAGCACTTAATGTCCTGTCAAGAAGAAAGGACAACACACTACAAAGGACAGTATGCATATCATTCAAAGATCAGACTCAGATCCACAACCTGATTTTATGGGATGCAAAATCAAGTACGTAGCCTTCTGCTCCACAGCTGCTTGCAATAATAAAAGTATTTTCAACAAAACAAGCGAAGACTGTCCAATGCTATAAAAGGGTACATGTTCTTTTTTTAAGCTAAACAGGAATTTTTAAACTGTATGCAGAAATTACACAGCTCGTGTTCTTGTGCTCTGAATGCATAACCTGTATTCCAATATGTAACTGAAAAGGATTATTTACAGAGAAATTCTTGGTCATCATCCACAGCAGGGCAGGTACAATCATACATACACTCATATTCCTCTTCAAATATTATGTACAGTTTCCTTCCCTTCATCCCTCCAACACATCTCTCCCACATTTGTCTTCCACAAACTTAATTACACATACATGCACACACACACACACACACACACACACACAAACATATGCATGCACATAAATAACAGATCAGTAAAGGTCTACTTCAGCTCCCTTTCCCTCTGCCTCGTTCTTATGAGGAGAGTATGAGCTATTTTCTTTGTAAAATCAAACTTCAGTCATTGACAATGTAACTTTCAGCAGACTACAAGTAATCGAATTTTATATCATTGGAAAGCTTGTTTCAAGTAGTATTACAGTAGAACCTGCTTTAACGGAAACCTGTGTAAAACGGAAACCTGTCTTAATGGAATCTCACCGCTCCCCCCATTGACATATTCCTCTTTAATTACCTGTACAAAACGGAAACCTTCCCAGCGCAGAAATGGAAAGAAAAATCCGCTCCCTTCCATGGGTTTTACCTGTCTAAGAAAGAAAATGCTTTGCCCAATCAGCCCTGATTTGAAACAAAACTCGCAAGTTTGGTTCCGCGGCTCTAAACTTAATGCCATGCTGCCGGGCAAGGAAGGGGAGTAGGGCTGCAATTTGAGGGTAGATGTGAGCCCTGAGCGATGAAGATGGTCAGGGTGGTATGGGTGTGAAATCTCACGAGTGCCACTGAAAGTGCTAGAGTACAGAGCCACTACAGAAACTTTCCAAGGTAGCCAGAAGTGAGAAATTAGTTTTGACCAATGCCTGCCGCCCTGATCATACGGCCAGCCGAGAAAAGAGTTCCTCGAATTGTTATTACACGGCAGTGAGGGGTGTCATTGGTTGACTGTGCTTATGACACCGATGGGTGGGGCTAAGGGAGGAAGTGAAGGAGACGTTCATCAAACATTTCTGTTTTTAATAGGTCAGACAATGGTCCTATGAAATGCAAGCACTGGTGGTAATTGGATGAGTAAGACTGACGCATGTCATTATCAGAGAGGATAGCAGCTGAGAGGTGGGAGGTTTTAACCACTTGGGACTGCTTGCCGACCGGACAAGCGACCCTTGATCCCGCCAGCGGGACCTTTGAAACCCACCCTACCCCCTTAAATTCCCCTGTCTAAGACAGAATTTTTTTCTGGCTCCCTTGCGATTCCCTAGCTCGACTGTGCAATCGTCCAGTACCAAATTTCTACGACACTAAGCGACTAAACACAGTGTGGAATGAACAATGGAGACATTTGGCCTAAATTCCACAGTTGACGTGAACAGTAAATGGTGCTACCAACACTGATTTACTGAGCAGCTGCGGAAATGTTGATTCTTGCTGAATCTTAACTCCCAATTTTGTTGTGTTTGAAACTGAAAGCTGTCATCATGCCGGATTGAAAGAGGCAGCGGTGACATTTGCAGAAAGTTAGTTTAGTAAGAGTTTTCGTTTGTTTAATATGGGTTTTACTGCACTCGCAACTGTATAATTTAGTACGAGTTTTACGGCACTCACAACTACATAAGGTCATGTGGGCACATGAAACACAAGTCGGTTGCATTGACAACAGTTAGAGCACAGCTTGATTCTGGTCAATGTTTCAAATAAAAGGTTTAAAAATCTGTGGTAAAAAAAGACTACAGGTTTTAAAATAACATTTTTACATAAAAGGAAAATAACATGATCTACAATTTATTGTACAGGCCACAATGGCCTGTATAAAATTGAGAATTCTGTTGGGATCAAAAACGGCGAACAGATCTTGTGATTTTTTAAATTTAAAATATTTCCCTTGGGTCTCTCCAAAGTCTGGACATTCTGTTAAGATGTGTCTAATGGTGAAATCTGTAGAAAGGTTTCTCCTCTCCCTGAAGGAGGTATTTATGATGTGTCAGGGAGGTGTTACATGTAATCGAGTAAAAATGACTTTTGTCTCTTCTGGAGAGGCCCAGTTTGGGAATGATATTGTGAAGTTTATTGTTAATTTGTTTCTCCCAATATGTCACCCACAGAATGAAGGTGTAGTTCCTGACTTTGTTTTTAAAGTCAGTCTGTGAGAGAGTGTCTGTCGTTGATCCCAACAGAAAGGACAAGGATTCCTTTGTCAGGAGATGCACCTGCTCATTTCCTCGGATACCCACAAAGCTAGGTAGCCATGCGAACACGATATTTTTCCCGATTTCAGTCAGATGTTGGTGTGATGGGAAATGGGTTCGGAAAGTTGACGACTGAGCTGGAAAGCTTCTTTGCACTCATGAACCCACACATCATTGACAATTTCTTAAAAGATGTGAACAGTTATGCCCTTGCTAAGGTACAAGTCAACACATCAGCCCCCAAACATTCTCGCTTTGGAAAGTGGAAGAAGATGACCGAGAAGGAATTTTAGAAATTCATTGCTGTCCTTATCCCTATGAGTATGAACAGGAAACCAAGCTTGTGAAACTACTGGACGGGTAAAGACTTCCTGCCATTCCACACTCTGTGGTTCAACACCAAGTTTGACAGAGACAGATTTGAGGTAAGTATGAGTATACTGTGTGCGTGCGCATCAACGGTTTGACCCGGTGCGAATTTCCCATAAAAAAGTGTTTTTTCCGTCAGCTTGCACCGGAATGTTTGTTAGCTGACTTCTTCATTATGTTGACTTTTTTTCTTTGGCTTCTAGAAGTGTGTAGTAGTGAGAATATAAGCCTTGTGTAGCCATGCCTAGCAGATCAAGATCTGTGTCAACGAAGCAATCTTGGAAATCAAGATGGATGGACAGGGTAGCTATGGCCAGACGTCAGTGTAGGACAGCTGATTCTGTGAGTGAGCCTGATGACACAACTGTAAGTCGTGATAGTGATTGTGCTTATGTAAACTGTACACTTAGGGCTGTATCTGGTATACCAGAAACCCTTCTCCCTTCTGTTGAAGAACCTAACCCTTTGCCTTCAACGCCAACTACCTTCTAGAGGAAAATTTTTAGCGCCAAAGCTCTCTTTCTGGGGGAAGGTGATGATGCAGATGGAGGTATTACTATGGGTGACAATGGTGACAGCACGACAAACAGTGGAAGAACAATTGTGGACTTAAGTTTACTGTGCGAATCCTTTGCCATGTTCCCCTGCCCCAACTGTTGTGGCCTTATCACTGTATCATTGAACAACCAAAAAAGTAAAGACTTTGCCAAGCGTATTGAGTCCTTTTGTAAGAAATGAAGACATTGTGTGTCTATCCCTGCAGACCTGGGACCTTGCAAGCTCAGTCTTCTTTGCGAGGCCCTTGACATGCCCAGCTTGCACCACAACAACACATTAAGTAAGAAAGCAGCAATTGTGGAGAAGAAAGAAGAAGAAAGAAAGAAAGTGATTCTCCAGGATGCAGCTAAAGTCGTTAGATCACGTCACAACTGTATCGACGAAGAAACCGCTCTGGACGTTGCTGTATCCTTCGATGGCTCCTGGCTTACTCGGACTCGTGGCCACACCTCAAAAATAGGTATAGGCTGTGTCATCGAGGCATTGACTGTTGTCATTCTGGACTATCATGTGGTCAGCACACATTGTCAGTTTTGCGCAATAGGGGAATTTCAGAGGCTGCACAACCCGAACCGTTACGATGCATGGCTTGCTAAGCACAGAAAAGAAGGATGCAGCATCAACTTCAAAGGTGGGTATTCATATTTCTTCAGACGATGTAGTGCAAACATTAATGACCGCAAGCGTATAATGACAACTGCAAAACCTTCCCAAACACCTTGAAAGGTGCACCATAAATTATTCCAAAGATGATAAACATAATAACTACTTATATTAAACTTTGAGTTTAGAACGATCATAAAGGCAATTACATTTACCTCAGTTATTAGATAGACAAATTTTATTATAGAAAAATGTGAAAAGTACATCATGAGTGTTATTTTCAATGCATGTACATACTTTTCTATTCAAGTATTCACTGAACTGCTCTTCCTGCTTTTTTCAGGACCCTCTGGCATGATGGAGGCCAAGTCAACTGAAGTCATATGGGCAAGATCATTGGAGCTGCACAATTTCAGGTACACCACCATGGTTGGTGATGGAGACTCCAAGGCTTATGACCGTGTTCAAGTGAGTCGAACATATGGGGATGTGGGGAAGTGGGAAGAGTGCATGAACCACGTCTCCAAGCGTCTCGGTACAGCACTCCGCAATCTTGTTCAAAATTGCTCAAAGAAAGGTTAGTGCAACAGTATAGTGTTATCATTCCATTTTGTGGATATCATATTCCTCTACAAGCATGTCATTGTCAATCAATTAATGCTTGTCTCAAGGAAAAAACGTTTAAGAAAACATGTTGCTTGATAATTGTATTTCAGTGTCTGGTAGAGTAGAGATAGCCATAAAATGTTTCAGTCTCTTTTTTTTGTGTCTTTTATGTTTTTTTTACGATGGGCATGCACCTGTCAGTTTATTTAGACTTCCATTTGTACAGTATGTTATTCTTCTGTCCTCTTAGAAGTGAAGATAAAAACATGATTTTTCATAACATGTTTTTATCTAATTTTCGTTCTCATGTATTACGCTTGTTGGAAGAAGATCTGGAAGCCTGACTGCTGACAAGATTAAGACCGTAGGCATATATTATTCCAGGGCGATTCGAAACGACTCCACAGCAGAGGACATGCAGAAGGCCATCTTTGCATCCCTGTTACGTTGTTTTTTCAATGGATGATTCTCCTTAGCACCAATATTGCCCCCCCTCCACTGTCCCCCAAACAACAACTCTTGGTGCTTCTATTAAGTTGACCTGTATGAGGGACGATATCCAGGCCACCATACTGATCGCATCCACACTCCGCTGGATTATGACAGGCTGTATGAGCATGTTATGCCAATCTACAAGCGTCTGACGGCCATCGACCTGATCAAGCAATGTGAGCTCCACGCGACACAAAATGCCAACGAGAGCCTGCATTCTTCCATTTGGTCTCGTTGCTCAAAGAGCAGGTTCCACTGCAAAAACAATGTAGAGTTTGCAGTTGCAAATGCAATCTCTGACTTCAACTTCGGACCAGCACATGCTGGCCACTGGCCTCAACAACAGTCGACTCTGTGAGAAGCGCGAACTCAAGCGTCTCAGAACCGCAAGTGGGAAGGAGAAGAGAAAAAGAGAAGGAGAACTGAGGCAATACGAAGGGCTGAGCAGGAGTACCTCAAGGAACACGGAGATCTTGGGTATGGCGCTGGTCTTTACAGAGCACCATTCCAGTAGTATAAAGACCTATTTTAGAATCGCGGATATGTTACGGGTCAACGGTTCAGATAGGAAAAACCCATTCTACCTTTCTCGATAATTGTTTTCATCATATCTGTTGTGTTGCCGTTGTCCACAGGTTGCTGTAGTATAGATGGAAACATTTCTTTAAATGACATTGTACGCAAAAAAAAAATTTCACACATTTTTGTACCTTTCTTTGCCATTTTCTCCAAAAAAAAATTTTTCACGGTTGGTACCATTTTTCTGCTCGATTTCTGACTCGATTTCAATTAAACTTTCACAAAATATTTGAACAAAATAAAATCTAGCTTTTTGTACCCAAAATTATTGATAAATGCTTTGGTTCTTAACTTGTGAGCTTGAAAAGGTAGGTTGTCAAGTTTTTTCCACTATTTCGCTAGAGCCTGAATTGGAAGTGCCATAAAATAAAAACTAAACCAGATGTAAAAAATTCCTCTTACAGAAAGTTTGATCTTTGTTTTATCAGTGTGCATTCTAAGTATGAACCTAATCTGTTTATAAATAAGGTGGGAAAATGACACTACATTATGTCTCTAAAATCCAATATGGCCACCGTTTCCATGGCAACCGAATCAATAAATGTTTTTTTAACAATTGGTAACAAATCTCCATTGCCATATAATCGTCCACACCAAATATAAGCTCCTTAGGAGTGGTATTAGCTGAGATAAGCTTATTCTGTAGCATCACCCCTTAAATAGGCAGGACCTACACCAGGAAACAGATCAAGTAGTGAAACAGTTAAAATAAGTTAAAACGATCTTTAACCCATGGCCACCTCCATATTAACCCCATAGAGAGTGGAGACCTTGGATGCACATAGTAGGTCAAGTACCTTATGAAAAGAGGACTGAGGTAGACCTTTACCAAACAAACCCATATTCTCTCATACAAACCAGAAGTCCCATCAAGACTGAGAATCTATCGCCCGCAAAACAAAAATAGCATCTGTTAGCACATAGAAGGAATGCTTTAAGTCGCCTTCACACAGATAAGGCAAGCGGGTGAAGCGCTCTACTTCAAAGCCAGACTGGCGGAAGATCCGGACAAAATGCTCCACTTGTTCCTCGAAGTTGCTGCCTCGCACGTGCAGATACTCGGTTGGTTCATGTGTCCTTGACCCTGTCGATAAATGGAGTAAATAAAAATTACTACATACAGAAAAAATACATTGTTCTTGTAAGTACTAGAGTTCATTTTGAATGTGCAAGAGACCAATGAAGGAATAAAGAAAGACCAAAGAAGGCAGATAAGACAATTCAAATCAAACATCATGTTAGAACATGATGACTAAAAGTCAGCCCAGGGTAACCGTGACATAATGATTATCTGTAGTGCATGCAGACTTCTGATTTTTATTGAGGACTTGTAAAGGTTTAACTCATTTGCTACGCCGAGCCGTGGGGGGCGGCGCGGCTAAAGTGCCGTCAGTACGCTAAGCCGCCCCCGACGGCGCGAGAACCTATCTTCAATTTTAGCTTAGATTCTATTCCAATCCACATATCCATGTTAAAATAAAGGTCATCATATAATGTTGACTTTCGGGTCAAGCATTTCCACTGAAAATCGGAAATTTAGATTCAGTTTTGAAACGCGATTTCGTAGTTTATTCGACTTTGTTTTATCGCGATGCCAAAATTATAGCCCGGACACCAGTCTTAGTAATTTTACACAAAAAAATCTATCATTATTTTGCCCACCGAAGAAGTATAGGACTCTTTTTTATAATATTGATACGATTGGACTCATATTGCCAATGCGCTGTTATTGAGAAATCAATATTTTTGAGTGCTAGATCTAGGTCTAGATCTAAATAGTCAAAATATGTTTTTCTCCCCAAAATCACTACTTTTTGATGAAATTACACAAAAAGTACCACTCAAGACATGTATAGGTTTATTCCAAATGCAATTCTGAATAATTCCATATAAGATACAAGCGGATTTTTTTCTGTTTGTGATCATTTTTCAAGATTATTTAAAAAAAAATTTTTTTTCAATATCGGATGTTATGTTCAAAATGTACAAATATTATGGAATGTAGGTAAATAACTGCAAACTTTTCAATATTTTCCAGTTCTATATTCATTTATGGTTATTTTGATGTATCATTTGACTAGGTGCAAACATATTTTTTGAGTTTCACCAAAGATTATAATTTTTTTATTTTCAAATTTTATCCGCATCCAATCAAAACTGTGTTGCATAATCGTCTCTTACAGGAACCAAAGTTGAAAAATACATAAATAAACATTACAGATGTATTCTACAAACCATATTGAAAATATTGGTATATAATACGTTGATATTTATTTGAATTTGTGGCCCCAAAGACCTTTTAATTGCCCACTAGTCATCATCTCTTTCGCTCACCCGAATAAAAATTCGTCCACAAGCCGAAAATAATACGTAGCGAATGAGTTAAGAAAAAACAATTCTCTTTTCTCAAGTGCCATGTGATTGCAGTAGCAAGTTCCAAAGACTTTTTTAAGACAAAATTTTTAATTAAATTATCAAGAAATACTGTCCCTTTCATGCTCTTCAAATCACATATAAAGAGACATACTGGAGAACAGTTCATTGCTTCACAACAGTGTGACCAATGGTTGAAGGCACAACTTCAGCTCAGATCACTTAAGTAAGACAACAACAACAACAAGATTTCAATAAGTCACCAAAAAAAAAACCCAACTGTGTGCGCCAATGTGTCATAACAATAACTATACTTTTCCAAGCATACATCTGAAGCAATCAAGAAGTCGTTTCAACAAATCACTATGAAAAGTGGCTGAGACAACTTTAAAAAAAGTAAACTCAAAAACTGACACAAACTCTGACTAGACCAAAGCATACAAACCAAGTTCCCTTTGGAGCATTAGCAATCTATAGGTACTAAAGTATCAAATCCAAAATACAACTTTTTCATGTCATTTTACACACATAATCAGTCCACTTTTTTTTCAGTATAAATTGATAAGGTGTCGCATTAAAATGATATTTGAGTGACTATACGTCTATTTGAACAGCAGTAATCAGAGAGAGTTATGATAGGACAGGGGCTCACGAGACAGGGACATGAAAATGTAGAATTGTTTATAGACAGTTTGCACAACAACAACCCCCCCCCCCCAATATGATATTTCCCCACTTACAGTGTTAGACAATTTGACTGACTAGTGGGGGGCAAAGATTGTTCATAACACACTACTAGATCTCAATACACCGTGTGTAGCTGAGAACAGACAACAGTACCAGAAAGCACACAAGTTAGAATTTACCCAGAAGGAAACATTTGTGAGACTGCGCGGTGAAATCAAGCGCTTGACAAAATAATGAAATTGAAGAAACCTAAATTGTTCCACCGGTGGTGGCAATATTTAGCTCAACACCTTCTATGTCCATTTAAGAACCCATTTCTGTGTGTATTTTACTGAAAAACTTTGATTAAAGGTAGAAAGAATGTGAACTGCCAGTTTCCACGGACTCTCAGGCGATGTTAATAGCCATTTTCTCGTTAATTTTACCTCTAAAACCAGGACACCCTCACCTCCTTCAATGGCAAATATCTCGACTTGAATTCAAGATAAATGGGTATTTCTTTCATGGAAAGCAAGGAAAATGAACAAGCTTTAAGGCCCTACCAATAACTCCACATGCCCAAAAGTTGACGAGCGCCTGATTCCACTGCGTCGTGACATTTATCTTACCAAACTCCACATAAGGCTTGAATGGAATAACGACAGCGACCAGCACCCGGCCAACTCCCGGCGTCAGGGAAGCTCTCATATCAGCCAGCAGGGACAATGGTTTGTCACAACGATCCAACAAGTTGAGGCACGCAATCAAGTCATATTGCAACCCCGACTTATGCCATTCATCTACTTCAAGGACCCTAAAAACAATTTAAAACATTCTGTGAATTCAGAAACAATCTCTTCCAACAATTATCAATATTACAAGTAAGTCTCCCTTCAGTAGCTAGCCAGGTGGGATTTCCCAGAATTATCACAAAATATTTTCAACAAATTGGTGCAAATTTTTATATTTATTTTTTTATTACCATCATAAAGCAATGAGTCAAACAGAATATAAAAGTTGACCCAAGGGGCCAGCAGGATCAATTAGGTTTCTACATGGACCCATAAACCTTTAGATACCGATACACTCCTTGAGAACATTTAATATAACCAGATATAGTTGGTGTAGGTAACAAGGACTAAAGTTAATTAAAAATCCGGGAAAAGCCAACAGCACAAAAAAAAATTGAGCCTCGTACAGTCAGTTTTAATGACAAAAAGGAAAAGGTGGTTAGCGCCAGGTGAAACCTACAAAAGAAGATACCACTAGCTGAGCTGAAGATCTCGCAAAGAAATAAAATTTAGACATTGAACCCTGAAAGGCCTTATCTATCAGAGGAACAAGAGGTTTGGCCGTAAACTGACAAACTGCTGTCTGATATGATGGTACACACTTATAGCTACGTAAGTGTATTACCCTCACAAACCAGACACAGATAGCTTGATGAAGATGGCAAAGACGATGACACAACAGTACATATAAATACCACATAGACATCTCATTGTAATCTTAAGCTGTTAATCTATTATTATATGGGATTACATTGAGTCTTCTAGTGACTTGAAGTGGATTAATTTTCACTAATGGAACAGGGAGCAACTAAATTTTCAACACAAACAAGACAGACATTCAAAATAAACTTGTCCTTCATTTCTTTCCAGAAGCTAAGTTTTTGTGACAAGACGACGATAAACAACATACTTGAAGCCATGCCCTGTGAGCCGACGCACCATCATACCAGACATCTCTGTTGTATAAGTATTGCGGAAGTAGCTTGCCATTTTGAGGGTAACCATGCCATCTCCTGCACCTACAAGAACAAGCAGAAATCAGTGGCCTCAATCACACAGTGGGCAACAGTAGAAAAGCATATCATATTTCAACTGCCTCTTGTCAAAATGCTAAAGTACACATATGAAGCATGAATGAGAACTACAGAACCAATTTCGAACAAGCAGTTTCTTCTTGTTGAAGACTTGTAATAACAACCAAACACTCATCAAAGTTAAAGAACACTTATAATTAAAAAAATAAGAGATTGTTAATTAGCATTGCCACACAAATCTAAAGTACAAAACAACAAAAAATGATATACAGGCATTTGTCACTCCCAGGCAGTGGACCACTATCAGCTAAACAGTGGCTAAAATAGAAAGCAACATCATAAATGACACACTATGTAATATGTCCCAACCTTGTGTACTATTCGAGACCTGTGCCAGGAACACTAGTGCTCTCCTTCATATATACATATATATATCATACTGCAAAACCTTTCATGAGAAAACCGGTTTCCCAAATTTCTACTTTCAAAGTAAAAGAAGTAAAAGCATCTGAGTACATAAGACTGTTAAAGAACCCACGAGCATAAGATTAATCAGTCCTGATAAAATACCTCATTTAGTCATATAAGCGATCATCACAGTACACTTAATGCAAATAAGACAATAGCACCTGTTGTAACAGAACTGCTACAAAAGCTGAATACTTACCTAAATCTAATAGATTTTCCCCCTTATAGTACGCAGAAAAACCCAACAGCTTTTCAAACTGATTCTTGGAAAAGATGAACATGGAGCCACGGTTCAAAAATCTGAAAAAAGATGACAAAACCAAAAAAATGAGACATAGACTAGAATTAAAACTTATTTCAAACTTCTGAACAAAATGGGAAATATCTATGAGAAAAACCCCCCAGAAGAAAAAGCCCATCAAATCAAAGAATTTAAAAATCAAATAGTAAAAGAATCAACAGAAAAATGACATCAAATTCCTGAGAAGACTGGTAAGAACCCAGGACAACCATCAAAATCACCACACTTAATGGTGATTGTGAAAAGCAGTTGGAATACTCCTTGTTAATGATAAAGAAAAAACATGCTGTTGATGGTCACCAATATTAAATAACTATTTTGGGTGATACTAAGGTAGTTCTGAAGAGTTCCGTCCAATAATTAATATGAAAAGATGTTTCAATGCTAGCGTAACAAAGGCTAAACCCATCCCTAAACAGATCTATATTCAGTTAATATTCTTCTTCACAAAAAGTAATAATTCGACAAGCAAAAGAAAGTTTACCAGTTTTAGTAAGAGTTTTAGGGCACTTGCAACACAATAAGGTCATATAAGTGTCAAGTTTTCCAAGACAAAAATAACTGCTTGCACTCACCCATTGATGGAGGTCTGTGTCATAAAGATGTTAAGAATTGGTCGAGCCACAGAGTACAAAATCTGAGTAAAAAGCTGGTCTGACTTGTCTTGGCAGTTCTGAAGAAAGTCATCTGTTCCTTCATCCTGTTCAAACTGCAGAAACAAATTCTGCACATCCTCCGGAAGACGAGAGACGACAACACGATACCACTGTCAGGGATAAAAGCAATATGAAAATATTTGTGTGTTTTCTCACTAACCATTATTATGTTCAAATAGAGAAACTTGCCCCTTTAAATGGCATTTATCTTTTTTTTTTAATGCAGTACGCCTATCTATACAGGTGGCATAAAACAATTACTTTACATAACTAAAGCATTTCCCAATTCATCTTCTTCAGACCAGTACAAAAGACGAAAATCTTGGTGAGAAAGTAGATGTTCATGACTGACCATGTTTAAATGACCAAAAAATAAATTTTCACTTTTATTCACTATCATCAATGCCTTCCATCCCTGGCAGGGTATAGGCCACATACAAGCTCCTTCCATTTATCTCTGTCCTGGGCCATCCTTCCAAGCTCTTTCCAAATGAGCTTCATCTCTCTCATGTCCCTTTCCACACATCTCCTCCATGTTTCCCATGACCTACCCCTGCCTCGTGCTCCCTGTCGGTGCCGCGGCAGAAACAGTCTTGTAATGTTTCCGCTGGGCTTTCTGAGGGGGTGTCTCATCCATAGCCACTCTCTTAGTCTTATTTCTTCTTCTATATCCTTTTGTCCTGTCCTTTCCTACAGCTCTTCATTTCTTATTCTTTCCTGCCACTTAATTCTTAGTTCTTAGGATACTTCTTATACATCTGTTGATGAAAGTCTGGACTTTCTTGTCTTTGTTGCCTTCTAAGTTTCATAGCCGTAGAGAAGCCCAGACCTGACATTGGAATTAAAGACTAGAATCTTGGTGAGCAGTGAGCTGTTGCTTGCTTCCCAGACTTTTAATAACTGATTGAATGCTGATCTTGCCTTGGCAGTTCTTGCTTTTACACCTGCCTCAGTTACGATCGATGACACTTCCAAGGTTTGTAAAGGAGTCCACTTCTTCTAGGGGAGTGTCTTCCACTGTCACAGCAGTGCTTGAAACTTTTTCTAGCTTCACTACTCTTGACTTGCCCAGATGTATACGTAGGCCAATATTCCTTGATAGGCTGTTGAGTTCCTTGGTCTTTTCTTGTACCTGAGCATGTGTGTGAGTGAGCAGTGCAAGGTCATCGGCGAAGTCCAGGTCGTCCAGCTGCTGCCAAGGGATCCACGGTATTCCATTACATTTGCCTCTGGTGGCTTTTTTCATGACCCATTCAATTGCCAGTATGAAGAGAAAAGGTGAGAGCAAGTATCCTTGTCGCACTTCTGTCAGTACCTGGAATGGTTCTGAGAGTTGTCCTTCACGGAAGACTTGGCAGTTTGTTCCATCATAGGTGGCCTTCACAAGCTTGACGATTTTGTCAGGTATTCCATAATGACACATGAGATGACACATGAGTCTCCACAGAGTCTCCCTGTCCACGCTGTCAAAGGCCTTTTCATAATAAATGAAGTTGGCCATGAGCGGTGAGTTCCATTCAAGCGATAGCTCAACAATGATGCGCAGAGTAGCGATCTGGCCAACACAGACTACACATGATCAGTTCTGGTGGAATCCTGCCTGATTTCCTTGGAGCTTCTCATGTTGCCAGCTTGATTCTCTCCAAAATCATCCTGTAAAAGACTTTTCCAGGTACGGACTGGAGTGTTATGCCTCTGCAGTTGTTGCAATTGCTGAAGTCTTCCTTCTTTGGCAGCTTGATTGGGTGGTCTTCCTTCCAGTCTGATGGCATTTTCTCCTCTTGGCCAAACCTTTTCAAAAATGTCCACTGATATATCTGTATCTGCCTTGAGGGCTTCCGGTGGTATATTGTCGGGACCAGCAGTCTTGTGGGACTTCAGTGGTGTTATAGCTGCAGCAATTTTCTCTCTCAAAGTTGGTTCCGTAACTATTGGGAGGTCATTTCTGGCTGGAAGAATTTCTGGTTGTTGTCTGGAAGTGGTCTGTTCAAGAGTTAATCAAAGTGTTTCTCCATCAGTTAAGTTGCCCTCTGGGTTTGTCTTTCACTGGTAGAATGGGCTTGCCGAACCTACCTGCAAGAGTTTTTGTTGTCTGGTGTACAATCCGCAAGTGTCCATCTGTTGCTGCTTTCTCTGCCTTTTTGGCCAGGCCATTTAGGTAGGCATTCTTGTCCTTTTTGATGGAATTCTTTTCCTCCCGGTTTACTTCGGTGTACTCTTGTTGTGCAGTGAGTTTCTCAGTTCGGGTACGGCTGTTGTAGAATTGGGCCTTCACCTCTCTTTTTCTTTTGACTTTGTCTAGAGAGTCCTGTGAAACCCATTCATTCCTGGTGTTGACTTTGGGTCCAAGGGTGCTTTGGCAAGTTGTATTTACTGCCTCTTATCTTTTCTCAGTGTTCGTTTACTTCACATTCATCTAGATCTCGAAGGGCTTGAAATCTGTTCTTCAGTTCCAATTAGAATTCATTCTTCCTTACTGGGTCTTCAGAAGGTTTACTTCATACTTTTAACGACTTCCATTTGTGATTCGTGCATACCTTGTCAGTTTCAGTTTCATCTTTCCAAGGATCAAATGGTGGTCTGATGCCATGTCTGCTCCTCGTAAGACTCGGACATCCTCCAGTGAGCGTCTAAACTTTCCGGAGACGCAATGATGGTCAATCTGGTTTTACGTTGTTTCATCCGGGGAGACCCCAGTGACCTTATGAGTCCTTTTATGTGGGAAGATTGTTCTTCCAATAACCAAGCTGTCGAAGGCAGATGTACAGGAATCTCTCTCGGTTGTCATTTGCCTCTTCTAATCCACATCTGCCCATGATTTCCTCGCAGTGACTATAGTCCAAACTTACCTTTGCATTTAGGTCTCCCGTGACAATATTGACGTCCTTACCTGGAAGTTTGTCGATCACACTCTGCAGGCGGTTGTAGAAGTCATCTTTATTCCCCTCTTCTGCATCATTGGTTGGGGCATACACTTGTATGATGTTTATGTTTATGACCTTCTTCCTGCCATCTCTTCTTTTGAGTTCTTTCTTAGTTCCAAATGAGGACATAATGATCCTTGGATCGTGCGCTTCCCAGTCCCAGAATGTCTTTTGAGCTGTTTTAGATATGATCATACCTACTCCTTCCCTGTGCGGCCCATCATTTTCATTTCCTGAATAAACGAAAAGCTACCCTTCTTTCATTCACTTGTCTGTCCAGACTGGTTCAAGTGGGTCTCGCTGATTCCCAGTATGTGTAGTTGGTATCGGTGCATCTCTTGGAGGACCTGTGCAGTTTTTCTAGCCTCATAAAGGGTCCTAACGTTCCACGATCCAATCCGGACTTGGATGTTGGTGTAGGCTTCTGCCCAGCAGCTTCCTTTCGGCTTTCACTGCCTCGCACAATAAACTCTCCATTCAGAGATGATCCACGACCAGCTAAGCAGAGATAATGGTTTTTGCTTGTATGTGTTTCTGTAACAGGTTCTTTTTACTACAGAGGCTGTTAGCCTCGTGATTCAACCCCAGACCTGGAGGGAGGATGACTCTGTTTCAGGAGTCACTGCCTGGTTCGCCATTTAGTCGCCTAGTACGACACGCTAGCACCACGTCAGTCCTATTCTATTCTTCTCAACACCGGGACACCATGGCAGTCATTTTTATTACTCAAAGTCAAAGGTCACAACAGAATAATGAAAAAAATTACAAAATCAAGCTGCTCCAACTGCGCCAACAGCCACCACTCTAAGACAATCACCTGTACAAACACTTCCCTCCTTGTGGTTTAAAATTTTTTTTTATAATGACTGTTCAATATGTTTATTATCTAAGGCAACCACTTTTCTCCTCGACAATGGGTGGCCATCACTGACAACTTTGACTGTACATTATGCACAGCTTTAAGTAACTAAATAAATAACTATGGAACAGATATTGGAAATAAAAGATATCCGACTGAAAGCAAACACCTCTGAAAAAGTTATTCACCATTAAAAAAATTTTTTAATGGTTGAGTATAAAAGATCAAGGATAAGTCTTACATAAACGTGCTTGTCATTTTTGTTCCTCTCATCTTCCTTTAGCTTCTGATACATTGCCCGAGCTAGGGGGTTCCGGATTTGCTGACCAGACCATAAGTCTCCATGCCCTGAAACACTGGGTTCTGTTCTTGCCTGCTCACATATCTGATCAAAATGAAAACATGAGAACATGTCACTGTGATTTGGGTCAATTAAAAAAACTATAGTTAGTTCTCTTAGCTCCGTAAATACAATGTAACCTAAAAGGGGGGTTAAAGCAAAAGCCAGAAACAAGAAATGGTCCGGTCAACGGATAAGAATACAGCAATTAAAAATAAGACATTGTGAAGTTTCCTCTTAGAGAAATCAAAATTGCAGGATTCAAATGTTTAATTCTTGCTCTCAAATTTGAAGAGTTGTGTTTACACTTCAAGGTCAAGGGTCCTTGACCAAGCAAGTGGACCAGTTTGTGTATCTATAGAACAATCCTAATGTGAGAAATTTTGTCTTTAACTCAAAACTTTTGAGTATTCTTCATTTTTCCTTTTAAAAGCTCCATAAATTATAGAGTTCAGTCAAAAATTTGAAAAAAGCCTAAGATGAAGCACTCACCGCTGGGGTTTCTGCCTCTGCACCTGTTGATGAGTACACCACAGATCTGGAAGGTTCAGCTTGTCCTGTGTTTCCTTCTGCCATGTTGCTCTTGGGTGTCTTGGCAGATGGAGTGCTGGTTCTTTGAGTCTCAGAAGCTGAGCATTGTGGCGGGCCAGTTGTTATGACTGACGCAATCACTGCACAAGAGGTGAACAACTGGAAACACCAGTGCCCAGAATACACAGGATAGAAAATCATTCACCAATATCTGTAGATGAGAAAAAACAGAAAACAAGACTAAAATACGTATTCAATTCTAAAATAGTAGGCTAAGTCGAACACTCAAAAAGATAATTAAACTTGTGGTCAGGAAGGAAAGAAATGACTCCTAATAAACAACATATCTAGTAAAATATATATATCAGGAGTCACTATCTCTAAACCAAGGGTACATGGATAGTGGCAATTGCCATTCTGCAGTAGACTTGCTATTCCTAAATCATTAACATTAGTCAACTCAACTCAAAACCTTTGATACAACGGAATACGGATTCAGCGAAAGGATTACGATTTTCTAGGTTTTTAAAAATTCATTAAAATTAAAATCAATAAAAACAACGCGGATTCAACGAACACATAAATGTGAGCAAGCTAGGATTCAACGAACACATAAATGTGAGCAAGCTAGGATTCAACGAACACATAAATGTGAGCAAGCTAGGATTCAACGAACACATAAATGTGAGCAAGCTAGGATTCAACGAAGTCGCTTGCAAGGCGCTAGGCTCCGCTGACGTAGCTTTACTTTGCTCATTTTTCACCCACAACAAACCTTAGGCCTGTGTTAGATCTATTCCTGGAAACAAAATTTGACACCAGCCAGCATCGTGGACCACTATTCGCTTTGCTTATCTTTTATATCTTATGTGACCAACCAGCAGCCTTCTTTCATACTAACACATGCATTGTTGGCATGCACATAGATGTCTTAGGGTGTGTCGGGGTTGGATGGGCGGCCAGCAAACGTGTAACATGTGTGCATGTGCCTGGGGAGAGGTGACACAAGCAGTCTGGGTGTAGGTGGAATGTCAGCAGAGATAGAGATACAAATATTTCACATGTACACTCATCCCCCTCCCCCCCCCCCCCCTGGTAGGAAGGGCCAACAAGGCCGCATCAGATGAAATGATTTCATCTGTGCTTTTGTTTCCCTGACCATCTATGAGGTGTGCATCCGAGACAGATTTTACGCCTGTACTCTGGGACAGTCAGATCGTCTTTGTGTAATGTTGAGCCAGCCTTTCATTCTTGGAATTTTAATTGGTGCGTGTACAAAACAATGATGAGTTACGACCTGAATATGAGCGGTGATTGCTGTCAGAGATGAAGGAAAGCAATAAATTCTTCACAAGTAAAGGGGAGGAGCAATGAGTGAGACAACGTTTTATTGTTATTAATAGGCTAAGCAGGAACCCAACAACACAGGCTAACAATTAAGACAAGTATTTTATTTTGTGCACCAATACAGTTTGTAAACTAGTATCCCATTTTAAAAGACAAAGGAAACTGATTATTATTACCTTTTCAATGGTTCAAACCATTGGGGGGGGGGGGGGGGGGGGGTTGCACTAAAAAAAGGAAAAAAAATTACTGTGCTTAATAATTCATAGACAAAGGCATCATTGTAAGCAATAAGTTAAAGTTTAAAGCTGATTCTGACTGGCTTTTGCTCTATAACGTTCTTGTGTGAAGGCCTTGGCTATCTCAACTCTTTAAACCCCATCGGACGCTAGGAACATCCGGTGATAATAACCCTGTTCCCCATTGGACGCTGGGAGCCTCCAATACTAGTACTAGTGACAACATTTTCGTTTTATTTAGAGCTAGTTTTTGCTTGTTTTTCGGAACTATTCCCGAACCAAGTTTTTTAGTTATGACTAAGCATTCGTTTCTGCCATTTAGAAGTTGGAGGCAAACTTTTTGAGTTACAATGAGACATAGTGTGTACCAGGTTTAGGTGACTGTTGAAAAAACTCCAGGAAACGGTGAAAAAAACTATGTGTTTAAAGAGTTAAGTGAAGGCCTTTTACTCTAGGCTTTCAAGACCTAAGACAACGTAGTCCTTTACGTTCACCATAAAACACATGAAAGCTAGTAATAGCACTCCTCTTAAATCATGCAATGATTGTGTCAAATTCAATACTTTGTGGTATGTTTTAATAACGAATCCTTTCAGCAGGACCTTATAGTAAGATTTACTCTCCAGTGTATTTAATAATCTTCTGTTACTTGGCAAGACAACTGTTGTTTTTTTTTTGGTTTTTTTGGGGGGGGGAGGGGGTTGTTTTGTTTTGTTTGGGGGGGAGGGTATTCTCCACCCCTATCCCTCCCCTTAACCGCCAACCCACCGCCTTTCTTGATTTTCAAACTACAGGTAGGCTGTGTTTCAGGATTAGTCAACATGGGGATCAAAACATAAAGTTCATAGACAGTCCTTATCAGACAGCCCACCCCCCCCCCTTTTTTCTCTTTCTCTCTCTCACACACACACACACACACTCTCTTCCCCCCTTCTCTCTCTCTCTTTCTTTTACTTTTTCTCTCTCCATCTTACTCTTCCAGACCCGCCCCACCACCTTGACCCATCTTTATAGCACATTCCCTCCCCCATACCTTGTCCCATTGCGCAGCCCTTATTCGTTGTAAAGAAAAAAAACGCAGTCGCGCTGGGTGACCACAGTTGGCACCATTTTGTATGTTCCATTGGGCGTGCTGCGCGCTGTGCCGCGAAGAGAGAGGCACTGGTTAAGATTTGCCATCCCGCCGCCATGTTGGTTTGTTTACATCAGCAACCTAGCTGAAGACCTCTTGACAAGACTCTTGATCCTGTATTACAGTTTAGAATTATAATTTTATAGATCTACATTTTAAGCTTCGATCTAAATAAAATCCTCGTTCCGACTGGCAAACTATAAGTTTTAGCGTAAATTTTTACTTTTGCAGCCACACAGAGATGTATTGATTTGAGGGCTAAACTGCTGTGGAACACACGTATGTATGGTCACTAAAACCCTTGCAAATCAATTGTTTTCAAGTAAATATCAATCCTGCTTGTAAAAACATCAAATCATTGTGAAATGCAGGGGGGCATGCCCCCCTGAAACCCCCCAGATTCTTTTTAGGTCAGGGCTGAAACCCCCCATTATGTTAAAATCACATCAAATATTACCATTTTCAAACCTGAATCAATAACTATATTGATTTGCAGCAAAAATGAAGGCCTTACAGTAGTAGTCTCCGCCTAAGATCTCGGTGCTTGGGAGCAGGGAAATGCAGGATCTTCTAAGGCGAACCGGGATCTTAACCGATGAACCCAGGGAAGAATCCAAAGTGACCCATGTTAAGGCTCACAATCGGTAAAATGATCTCCCTCCACTCTAAAATGAACTGACGTGACCCCTGGGTGGGCTTATGACACATGGCGAGCAAAGAGTGGTTAACCTTGATAACCTATCACAGTGCACAGAGGCATGAGGCGTGCCATTTTTACTTATTATTCTATCTTGAGTCTCAAGATCTACGCTTATCCAGTTGCCCCTCCCCTTTACCTGTCGAAAATTTATAGCTTTCCATCTCCAGCCCCAGTCCCCTCCCCCCCCCTTTGTCGTTACACACCATTACGTTGTGAACACACCAATTAAAATTCAGTCCGTCTCGCAAATTCGGGAGTAGAGACAACTGCTGCAATAGTCAGGAAAGAGTTCACGGTTCAATGTGATCCCGTCTGGAGCGAACCTATAGGCGCTATCCACCCAGCGAGTGATGTAAGTTTAGGGGGAGAGCTAATGTGTGAGTATGATGCGTGGGGAAAACAAACGTGTCGGTCAGTTCACATCCCGGTGTGATCCCATCTGGGGCAAACATTGTATCGCTTCATCGAGTTTTACGTGCATGTGATCACATTCACGATAGAGGCTGATCTTTGACCCGACGGACAGTTTGTTGATCTCAACTTTTCACTCTTGGTTGATTGGCTGTGCCCGCCCAGGTTTTTGTTCATCAAATTATGATCTGAAATGCGGGAACTTAGCCTAAAGTAGACCTTCATAGTGAATCAGAGCGGGATCTTAGGTGTGACTTTTGTATAGTAAAAATTCTGTTTTCTTAAAACAGCGGGACCTTAAGCGAACCAGGATCGTAAGCGGTGTGATCTTATAGGTGGAGACTACTGTATTTGCGTTCAGCATGCAAAATATTACTAGAAATAAAGTATGTAAAACGTGTACATGAGACGGGTGCATGAGTAAAAAAAAACAGTTTTAGTGCGCACTTTCGGGGCGGCAATCAGTTGCAGTTGGATTCTTTCTGTTAGAAGAAATCTAAACCTGTATCGCATTTGAGTTGCTGATGTAAACAAAGCAACATGATGGCGGTTGGACGACAAATCGTTTAACTCTTAACCACAGCCGAGAGAGAGGAGGGTCCATTTGTTGTAAGGTCCTTGGTAGGTCCTTGGACACAGCTCAATTTAAGGGCACTCCAGTACAATTGCGGTCCCGTTCAGGGATACTCACTTTGACCCCACCAACGATTACTTCCGGTTCTAAACGATTACTTTTTGATGCGCGTGCCGATAGGCCTAAGCAAAGAGATAGCCAATTAAACCTAATTGCAAAACATCAAATTATGGTCTCAAATTCAGGGCTGAAATCCCCCTTGCCTTGTTAAATACAAGTGAAATTTTACGGCTCAAATTGTTGGCTAGATCTACTGATAAAATATCGATATCGAATATTTAAATCAGTATCAATATCCAGTAGTCTTTGCTAGGGTGATTTAGAGCTAGAACTAACGGTACCCCAATTGGGTGCTTTTTCAGTAGTTCCAACCCCCCTTACTTGAGTCTAGATCTAGTATCTACATCTAGATCTATACGTTTGATGCGCTGCAAGCTAAGATATCAAACCTAACAACTGCAAAACATCAAATTATGGTAAAATTCCCCCCTGAAACCCCCCACCATATTTTTATGCAAGTGGTTATTCTCCGGCGTCGCGCCGGTCAATAGATCGGAAGCTATTCTCCGGCGTCACGCCGCCGGTCTATTACTAAAGAATTATTTGTCGGCGCAGATTTGCAAATACCTCTCTCATCTATCTGTCTTGGGAAAAAATTCCCTTAACTTCACCACTTCGTGCCACTTCAATTGATACAGACGATATGTTTTCAGACACAAACTGCCTCAATTCCTCCAATTCAGAATTATCT